TGTCCTTAAAATGCACACTAAAGGCAAAAGCAGCAACTGACTGACAACTGAGCAGCAAGTTCCTGCGATGATGAAACTTTGTTGAGAAACTCATGAAGATGGGGAATTTGGAAACATATAACTGATAATACTTTATAACTTTCCCCACCCCCCAATCAAGCCAAATTAGCAGGCTTTTTAAATATCCTAGGCAGTATTCTTTCCTGCATTATTGTTTTTGAAATGCATGTGTATCTAGTGTAATCCTTCCACTGGATTTCACATTAAATAGCACTTAATAATAATAAAAAAGACTACTCTTGTCTTTGTAGGCCTCATGCATGATTCAATCAAAAAATTTACTTCTTCAAGACCCTATCTTGCTGGAATTAACATTGCAAATTTCTAGTGCATCCTTATGGGAAATATGCACTGGGAAGTTAAATCTCATGGCACCAAGATTGATCTGGAAGTGCACAGGACTGTTCCACATGGAAACATAGGCAACTTAGTATAAGCTATGTATCTCACATTAGCTCCCTTTGTGCCTTAATCACATGAAAGCAGTCCCAAATGATGAGGGGCAGCTGGGCTATGCTTTCACAACCCTGCTTCAGATTACCTCCAGCTTCCTTGGCCCCACACATAATATATTGAGTAAGGAGATCTGTGGTGGGGGAACCTAAGCACACAGACCTTCCTTCCATAGGGTTACATGGAAGCTGTGCAGGTTTCCAGTTCTTGTGGAGGTCTATGCATCTAGGCTTCCTTGCTGCAGAGGTCTACACCCAATGTTCAGTATGAGAAGCATGGTCAACAGAGCTGTCCTGCTTGGAAGCTTACGCAGGTTGCCTCAATGAGATAAAAAAAAGCAGTAGACACATGGCCCTGAAAGACAGTTTACACATTATTATCAGTCTTTCCTGTAAAGTTCACGCACAATAGGGCTGTTGTTAAATCTATACTCTGGTTTCTAATTTAGAAATAAAACACTTGTAGCAGCTTACAACATATACAGTGGTACCTTGGTTGTCGAACTTAATCTGTTCTATGAGTCCGTCCGACACTAGGGGCGGTTCGAAAACCAAGGCGTGGATTCCAATTGGCTGCAGGAGCTTCCTGCACTCAAATTGGTAGCCACGGAAGCCATGTTGGATGTTTGGCTTCAAAAAGAGTTTGCAAACCGGAACACTCACTTCCGGGTTTGCGGCGTTCAGGAGCCAATTTATTTGGGAGCTAAGCCATTCAACAACCAAAGTACCACTGTATTACAACAACAAAACTAACCAGGTGATGACATGAAGGCACTTTGGATATCAGTGATCTTGTTGTCGTTTAGTCGTGTCCGACTCTTTGTGACCCCATGGACTAGAGCACGCCAGGCACTCCTGTCTTCCACTGCCTCCTACATGCTTAAACAGGTTGAATGAAATCTATCCAATGTGTTAGGGTTCAAAAGGACCTCTTTACCAAACATTACAATAACATCCTTTAGATTTTAAGGCACTGCACTGTTTCCTAAGGAGGCATTCATCACTGTTCTTACTCACTTGGCCAGAGTTTTTCTGGCTGTTTCAAGTTGACAGAAAAGGCAAAGGAAGATTACACATGATACTGTATTCACACTTTCAAAGATCGTGTCCACATCTGCCTGATGCGCACATTTAAAAGTATCCCAAACAGCAGGCAAGCTATCACAGGCAATGCTCTTATTGATTCTGCACTAATTGTGGCATCCCACTTAAAACAAATATAAATGGCTTTATCCACAAAGTGTCTTGCAAACTGGTCACAGCAAGTCACCAAGTGACATTCTTCTCTATCTCTGGTCATTCTGAAAAACTTCACCAGATGACGGTGTGAAAATGCAATGGTGCCAGAAAAAGGTATTACTTTGCTGCCATCATCACCTTGTAGCAGATTCCTTTTCTAGGATGCACTGCCACAAATAATACTGAAGCCCAACAGGCCTAGCCACTGCCCCATTATAATTGACAACATATCCCTGAATTATGTGCAACACACACACACTCAGCAGGTAAGCCAGTGCAAAAAGGGTGCCCCGTAAGAAGAAAGTTTTTCAACCACAGCTATATAACAATATACAGATGGATAATGGAAGATCTAAGGGAAGGGCACTAGACAAATCCCCAAACAGAGAACAGCACTCATCATACACACTATTAAGAGCACACCCAGCCAAGCTTCAAAGAGAGATTAGACAGGCACCATTCCTTATCCATGAGGTGTTTGTCCCCAGCAAATGCATGTGCTTTGTTCCATGCAATGCAATTTGGACAGTTAAAGAGCAGTCATTGCACTGGATTTATCTGAAACCTTATTGCTTCAAAGTAGCTGACAGATTGCTAGAGTCTGCTTGCTCAAGCTCCTGCCGGGAGATAATGGACAGCAGTGGTGAGGGTCAGTAAAAGGGTGTTAGTAATAATAAAGGCAAGGAATCTATGAAGAAATGAAAGAATGAATCAGAAAAATTTGTGCAGCAATTCTTTGAAATCAGCAAACATCTTTTCATGCAGCGTTTCTGCCCTGCTCTCCCTTCCTAATACCGCTCCCCATGCTTGAAAACTAGAACTGGGCCAAAAATTCTGCTGTGAACTTTTTCACAAAACTTTGAGAAGGCGGGGGGGGGGATGACTACACATCTTTGTGAGAGGCAGAAGAAAAAAATAACTTTTTTTTTTGTTTAAGAGACACAGATATTCGCTTGAAAAGCAACATCAGTATCATAAA